CTTTTTCGCTGAGGAGTACCCCGGTGGTTATAGCGCTGCTCAATTGGCTCGTCATGTGGCTATACAAGTCTTCAAGAGTGGGACCCCGCTTGGTGACTGCCTGTCATGGTCAATTCAGCGCCCACGAGAGAGCACAAGCCCGCCGAGTGGTTTGTTGCCTCTCCCGCAATGGTTTTCGGCAGTCAAGGTCCTTCAGCGGTTCGAGAAGTTGGAGTTTAGCTGGGAAGGCCCGTGAAAGGGGCGACACTCGTAGCAAAGCTTCCAAAGTTCTTCGTCATGAAGGTATGTGCTTGTGGCATGGGTTGGCAGTGGCAGCCATAAACGTGATGCATGGCAATTGGCGGCATCCAGACGGGCCCCAAATGGGATCATTCGCCAGCGAGGCCCAAGAGGAGGCATTGATGCAGATCTGGAAGCAGGTGGAGGTCTTTGTCGACGAGAAGGGCCCAAAAGGTGTGCCCAGAGTCTGTGAACCAGACTGGGCAACAAACATTGATGAGTTGAGAACGTCTTGCGATGGCAGAGTGGTGGAGAAGGCTCATGCAATCACCCTCGACCAGATCCTTCCTGGTCTTCCAAATGTTGGGCCCACATGCATGGTGAAGTTGGTTGACGTGCTCCCAGAAGGTTTGGCCTCCCAACTTTGTCAACGCGAGAAGCTTTTGCATTTAGATCCACCTGGAATGCCGTCGAAGCCCCGAGTCTACTGCTCGGATCAGGAATGGCCTTTGGTTGTGAGCGCACTCATTGAGCGGGGCCTGGTGCGAGTGGTCGACAAAACTCCCAAGTTCGAAGGGCATTCCCTGAGCAATGGGGCGTTTGGTGTGCCAAGAGGAAATGAGTTCACTGACAGTGGGCTCCCTGTCCTCCGTATCATCTTCGATTTGAGGGCAACCAATTTCATGATGAAGCAGCTCAATGCGGATGGCTACAAGTTGAGTGGCGCATCAAGTCTTCAAAGGTGCATCCATGACGATGGTGAAGACTTGCTGGTGTCGGGTGAAGATCTCGTTTCGTCGTTCTTCCTTTTCGAGCTCCCGGACTGTTGGCCCGAATACATGACGCTTGAGAAGCCAGTGATGCCTGAGGACATCGGGTTAAAGGGCAGCTCGCCTTTGTGGGTGGGCCTACGAGTGCTGCCGGTGGGGTTGCACAGCAGGCTGCACTTCGGGAGCTGTCCCTGCGGGATGGAGCCAGGGCTGGACAAGTTGGTGGAGGTCACATCGGAGGATACATACCCTGACCTACAAGTTGAACCACCATGGATAATGTTTGCTGAGGATGCCCTGTGGCCTGAGCAGATCCACAGAGCCGTTGAGGAGTCGTTGGAAGGCCAGACGGGGCAAGTTCAAGGACGACTTCGGCGAGGCTATTCCTGGTTGGGAATCCGGGTGGATAAGGAGAAGGTCCTTTCCCAATGCAACGAAGTTGGAAAGCTGGACGCCTGCATTAATAACAAGAATGGTGTCCCACGGCTTTCAACTCAAAAAGCTTTGGATATGATCGGCCTTGGTTGCTATCTGCGGGGCTTGAGGTCATTGCCGAAGAAGGCCTTACAAGTCTGGGCCGGTCAGGCTGTGCATGTTGTCAATAGAGGGTGTGTTTCCGAGCATCCTGGACGATAGGGCTGAGACCAAGTGGACGATGGGCTTGCTACAGGAGTTCCTGATCGTGGAGTGTCTTCTCCCTCTGGCTCAGACCAGCCTCAAGGCACGTCTGGATCCTGTGGTTACACGCTCGGACACGTCTGAAACAGGTGGAGGTATGATGTATGCATCCAGGTTGACATGGTCGGATAGGAAGCAAGCTGATGCCTTGCTTGGTGGTGAGCCCCAGCTCGGGGTCACCGATACGACCGTTTTGACAGGATCTACTTTGGTTGTGAATTTGTTCGCTGGTATTGGCGGCCTGGAAGAAGCCCTCAAGAGAGCAGGAATTGGCAAACACTACACGGTTTTTGTGGAGGTGAGCAGAGAGTGCAGACGGTTGCTGAAGAGGCGCTACCCGGCCATGCACATTGTCAACGACATCAAGGAGTTTGGAAGAGAAGTTTTGGAGAGGGCATTTGAGATGTGCCCAAATGCCGAAGGAATCATTGTTGGAGGGTGCCCTCCTTGTCAGAGCCTTGGTGTCGCGCAGGGCCAGCTTGAAGAGTCGGGCGAATCAGTGCGCAAGTTTTTCCCCGACGTCGTGAAGGTCTTCATGGTGGTCGATGAGGTTGCAAGAGAAAGAGGCATCTGGACATTAAAGTTAATGGAGAATGTTGTAACAGCTTTGGATGACCTGGAACAGATGTCGGTGGCCCTGAAGATGAGGCCGGTCATGGTTGACAGCGGTGACATTATTCGAGCCAGTCGCCCAAGAATGTACTGGGTTTCGAGACCCATTCAGAGCAGAAGTATTTCGATTGGAAGACTCACGAGCTTTTTGACAAGTTGATCATCAAGGGGGGTTGAGACAGAGCTGTGAGGCCAGAATGTGAGTGGCCGGGAGGAGAGGCGGATGAGAACTTGAGGTTCCTGTCATTCACAAGGCCGATAAAGAGAGAGGAACCTCCTGATGACGATACTGGTCTGCGGTCCGCCTCGCCAGGCGCTCAAGCTCGGTGGACAAGAGATGAGTTTAGATACCCTCTTCGCGCCTATGCTCAAGAGTTCATGGTCGAGACTCAGGTACCTGAGGTACGACCGCTGGTGGCTGAGGAAAGAGAAGTGCTCATGGGCTATTCGCGTCACCACACACTGGCTTTGCTGAAGAGGGCACCAACCACGTTGAACGAGAACCAAGTGGCTGAGGACGTGATGTGTACGGTAGTGGGCGATGCGTCTCATGTTACCATTTTGGCAATTTTGCTGGATCAAGTCCTAGGCGCCATGAGGCTAAAGGGCATCAAAGGACCAGTGCAAATTGCACAGAACCACATTGAAGAGGCGATGAAACGGTTTGTGCAGGTCAAGCTGGAGCAGGAAGCCGAGGAGGCAGTTGATGAAGGCGCGCATCCGAGTGAAGCGTTGAAAAGCCGCAGGGGCCGCAAGGAGGAGAATGAAAGCGCCGCGGAGTTGCTAGCAGCTGAGGCGCTACTAAAAACCTTGGATAGCAACCTGAAGTCGTGGTCAACAGAAGATCAGCTCCTGCAAACTGAAAGGCGGCTGAGCACAAAGCTTGTGTCAGCGCTTGTAAAGAAACAGGAGTATAGAGGCTCAGGCACCCAATTGGAGCTCAGCACTCTATACACGCCAGACTCCTTCCCCCATGCCGAGTTTGATGTGAACCGGTGGCTTTGGCATGAAGGGCAGAGTTACGTGTTCTTGGCCCCCGAGAAGGAGGCCTTGATCTTGAGTTTGACATGGAGGCTGCAATATCCAAAGTTTGTTTTCTGTCGAGCTCTGCACTTAGTCGACAGTCCAGTTGTGCTCGCTTTGGCCATGAAGGGCCGATCCTCGTCCTACGTCTTGAATGGACTTCTTCGACGATATGGAGCGCTGCAGTTGGCTGGAAGAATTTACCCGGTCCTGGGCTGGGTGAAGAGTGATCAGAACCCGGCAAAAACAGCAGCCAGTCGACGCACACCATGAGTCTTCAAAAGAAGATGCACAGAGCTTTGAGCGAAAAAGATGTATAAAAGGGGGCGCACCCTGATTGTCTCACAGGATGTGGTTGTCAGGTCCAAAGAGACTTTTGATAACGTCAAAATGGTTCTACCAGATTCTCTTCGGTCAACTTGGGACCAGCTACTGTCCGCAGTAACTGTTGTGTACATTAATTATCTGCTCCACGAACACGCACTTTTCTCTTTTTGTTTGTGGATCAGCGCAAACACGTACCCTGGAAGGAATACAAAGATGTCCATGCTCGGTTCGTGGTAGAAACGAGCAGACAGTGTTTTCTTTAGAGGGGGGGTACCCGATGATAGAGCTCCTGGAGACTACCTCCCCCTAACACTTCAACCTCTTTTCTCGAGTCCGTGGACGCGGAGTTTCTGAGACGCTTACCTGAGGTTGACTTGAAGTCTGACCCGGAAATTTCTTTTCTTTTGTATTTTTAGCCTTTTATCTAACCTCTTCCTCTGTCTCTAGTGTGGTGTCCTTGTTGCGTACAGCAGCCACACCACAACGGACCAATACCTAAAAGGAAGGTGCATTGCGTTGGCAGAAGCGGGTTGTGACTTTTGCCCGAAGACACGAAGACACGAAGACACGCGAAGACACGCGAAGACGCGCGAAGACACGAAGACCCGAAGACACGAAGACACGCGAAGACACGAAGACACCGAAGACGCGAAGATATGAAGACACGCGAAGACACGAAGACACGAAGATACGCGAAGACACGCGAAGACACGAAGATACGCGAAGACACGCGAAGACACGAAGAGGCTTCAGGTCTTCAAGGCTTTCAGGTCGTCACTAGGCTTCAAGTCTTCAAGGCTTCAGGTCGTCACTAGGCTTCAGGTCGTCACCAGGC